TAAAAGCGGGTGTGGACCAGGTTGTATCTGGGTAAGACGTGGTCACATCAGAATCTGCAGTCCCTGAGTCCAGCCACCTTCATTCTCCTCCTGTGTGTGGGGCAGAGGGTCCACCTGTGACACTGGTGGGCGGTGGCGAGGCTAGGCCTGGTCCATCCATGGGGGAGGATCCACTTTGGTCCCAAGACATTTTAGTGCCAAACACTGGAAAATACACAACAAGAAAGGGGGTGCTGTGCAGGCCCCAGACGTGATGCTGCCGACGTGTGGCTGTGGGCTCCAGCCTGTCTTCACACACGTGTTTGTATTGCAGCACCAGCGCACATGACACACTTGAGTGTGAGGCTGTCGTGGAAAGGGTTGGAGCTGACACTCGGTTGCCCTGTGCTTGGTTATAGGGGAAACCCTGTGGAACCATCCCAGCCACTTTGGAGGGAATGTGTCCGTCCTGAGTCCTCTGCTGCAGGTGCCCGACATTGATGCCGACGGGGCCCCAGACCTGCTGGTCCTCACCCGGGAAGAGAGGCAGGTACGGCCTCCTCTACCGTTCACTCCCCTGGTGGAATTAGGGTCTGACCACCTGTCAGGGGCCTTGACCTGGGTGCTCGGGCGCCTGCCAACCCAGCACGCTGGGGTGGCTCTGTCCTGTCGGGCACTTCCAGATGCAGCTCTGAGGACCTTGAGGGCCACCCCATGTCTCCCAGGTGGCTGAGCACAGACATCAGACATGCTTGAATCAAAGCAGTCTTTCCTCGTACCGGGAGAACCTTGACCCCTTTCTCTTTGTGCTGCAGGTTAGTGGCTACATCTATTCAGGCAGCACCGGGCAGCAGGTCGGCCACCCAGGCAGCCTGGGTGTGGATGGTGCCAGCGGCTCCGTCCTCCACGTCACCAGGGTGGGCGCTCACTACGTCCTTCTCCCCTGCGGTACGTGTTGTCTGCTGCTCCCAGGACCGCCTCCCTCGTGGGCCCTGCTGATCTCAGATCAGCTCCAGACCCTGAGAGGATACAGGTTGTGAGGGCTGTGGGCTCCTGCTGTTGTTCCAGGCTCGTGTCTTGGGGACAGAGTTGCTGGGCACCTGCAGTGACTTGAGTTCTTCCGTGTGTTGATAGCAAACTCACTCTGTGGCTGCTCGGTGAAGGGCCTCTATGAGAAGGTGACTGGGAGGGCCAGCGCACTCAGGAGGGACCCCTTCTGGGAGGACATGCTCAACACCACCTCCCACAGGCTGCATCCGCACAGGTGGGTGGGGTCCCCACGTGGGCCCAGGGCCTTGTGTTGGGTGTCGTGAGGCCATCCTGGGCTCAGGCTCGGGAAACCAGCCAGCAGAAACCAGATGAAGACCAGGGAGAAGACAGGTCCCCCCCTGGGTTCACTGGTCCCTGCCTCTGGTGAGGGTCTTGTTTTAAAGTCTCACATGAGAGAAGAAACGGGGGGCTGAGCCCAGAGGTGGTGTTGGGAGGGTCCCACCTCCCACCCCCAGTCTGAGTCCCATCCTTCCTTGCCTGTGTAGCTCTGGAGCCGTCCGCTACCTGATGCACGTGCCAGGGAAAGCAAGCAAGGACCTGCTTCTTGTGAGTTCAGAGGCCTGCGTGCTGCTGGATGGGCAGGATTTGACACCTAGGTGGACCTTCAGCCCGGCCTGGGTCCTGAGGTATGGGGTTCTACTCCAGGTAGCTGGGCAACTCTGGGGATGAGGCTTGTGTGCTTCTGCAGAGGCCTCTGGCCTGTCACCTGGGGCCACTTTGCATGGGATAAAGGTGGAGGGGAGGTGATGAGACCCCTCGCCCCCCAGCGTCAGCTTCCCACCCAGCACCCTGGTGTGGCTGGGCCACCCCAGCCCTGTCCAGGTGTGGCAAGGAAAAGACAGTGGGGTCCCTGTCCCAGTGTCTCCTGACAGAGTTCCTTTGTGGTGTGAGTCCACTGTCCGCTCTCCTTCCAGAAAACCCATCCTCGGCCACTACAAACCCGACACACCGGCCCTGGTCATCGAGAACGGGACTGGCGCTGACAGACAGGTTGGCGGCATTCTCTCCTGAGCCTCACCTTTGCTTATAGCTGAGGAAAGTGGGTCTACGTGGCAGGCAGGGCTGTGGCCTGGCGAGAGGCCTGGGTGAGTCACCTTCAGGGACGTGACCCCCCTTCATGGCTCTCCCTCCCCAGATCCTGCTCCTGGACCTGGGCTCCGGGGCCGTCCTGTGGAGCCAGGCCCTCCCGGGCCTCCATGGGGACCCACCGGCTGCCAGCCTGCCGACCGCAGACCACCGTTCCGCCTTCTTCTTCTGGGGCCTCCAGGAGCTGGAGGATGCCAACCACACGGTACCGGTGGGAGGTGCCATGCTCGGGCTGGGGTGGGCAAGCTCAGGTAGCAGACTACGTGGAGAGTGGGCAGGACAAGGTAGTCTGAGCCAACAGAAGGGGGCCTGGGCTGCAGGGGATGCCAGGGCAACCTGGGCAGAAGTGGTGGGGCACAGGGTTCCAGCTGGACAACACTGAGAAGGGTCAGGGTCAGGTGGAGTGTGGATGGGCGGACAGTAGGTGCAGGGTTGTGGGACCCCAGGTGGGGACCTGGGTGGACACAGCTTCAGGCATGGTGATTGGCAGGAGTGCCCCTCAGGACTAAGCACAGCACCCCACCTCCCACCACAAGCCAGGGACACGTGGTTTCTCAGCCTGGTCAGCCTTACGCCTGTTGCTGCTGTCTCCCCAGGAGCCAGGGGCTGCCCCGCACCACCTGTACATGTTCCACCCCACACTGCCCGGCGTGCTGCTGGAGCTGACCAACATCTCCGCCAACATCGTCGCCTTCCAGGGTGAGTGGGGCCTCAGGGTGGGCCTGGGCTCCACCCGCCACAGGCAGTCTGCCCTGGCCAGTCCTGGGACCTGACATTTATGTTCCCACAGTGGTTCTGCTGGAGCCAAGCCGCCACGCTGCCTTCATACTCCTGACGGGCCCCACCAGCCCAGATGCACCTGGCCTGGTCTCCATGACCAAACACAAGGTGCGGGACCTCGTACCAAGCAGTAGGGTGGTCCACCTGGCCAGGGGTGGGCCCGACAGTGACCAGGCCATCAGGGACCGGTTCTCCCGCCTGCGGTATCGGAGCGAGACCTAGATGTGCAGTGGAGGAGAAGCTCCAGCTCCTGAAATTAAACGTCCAGGGAAGTCGGCCCTCCCTCGCTTGTCTGCACGCTGACTTCTGACCTGGCGACACGCCCCACGGGATCCTCATCACCCCAGGGACACATCTGGGCCTCTCCCGCCAGCACGCTCAGTCCTCACTCTTCTCCCCCACTGGGGTCACACACAAGGCCCACTGCCTTCCCTGTGGTCTCTCTAGGCAGAGCCCATGCCTGGAGCAGCTCACCCTTCCTCCTCCACACCTGGCCAGAGAGCCACAGCCATGGGAACAGCCCAGGCCCCATCTGCAGAAAAGTCCCCTCCCCTTCTCTGCACCATCTCTGTGGGGTCATGAGCTCAGAGGGTTGTGGACCCCAAGTTCCAGCCCTCAGCCTGGGGCCTAGGAGGATGTGGTGGGTGGGGCTGTGTGGAGCTGTGCGTGTCCTATGCACCCCCTGGATACACTGGAGCTGTCTGTCCCTTGGGTGTGGCCAGCGCCCCCCTCTCCCCCTTCCTGGTGCTTGGAAGCCCCTGCAGCTGGTGTCACTTGATAAAAGACTCACCTTTGTGCCTTGTTCACTCCAGACCTGCCTGGTGCTCTGTGTGGCTCAGCCGGGCCCAGACAGAAAAAGCAGTCTGAGGACCCTGGGTGCCTCGGAAAGAAATCAGAATAAACACTGGTTTTGCACTGTCTGGAAAGCCCTGTATGTGCTGTGTCTGTTTGCTGGATCAGTGGGAAAGGCTGCAGGGGAGGTGAGCCCCCTACCTACACCTGCCTGATCAGAGACAGAGGTGTCCCATTTGGCGTCCAGGTGCATCTCAGGCTTGAGGACCCCGCCCTGCTTACCTCCAGCAAGCAAGGGACTCAGCTTATGGATGTGGGCGTGCTCCCACCTGGGACAGGCAGGGGGTCCCTCCAGCACCCCTGCATCCTTTAAGGGCTGAGCTCTGGCAGCCACTAAAGCCCAGGCAGGGGACTTTAGTGAGACCCAGGTTTGGGTAGCAGAGTGATGAGGGCCATTGTGGAGAATCTTGCAGGAATCTCCTGTGGGCATTTAATATATGCCAAACCTGCTTCCAGAACCAAGTTCATTTCTCCATGTAAAGGCCTGGGAGGCAGCGAGTTTCAACCTGAGGTTGAAGGGCTGGGTGCCCTTCTCCCCAAGAGTGGGTCCCTTTTGTTCCTCTGAGAGGCCAGCCAGCCCACGTGGCCTTGGATGACAGAACTGCAGGGTAGAGTCCCTGAAATTAAAATAACCTGAGGGCTTGAGCAGTGCCCCACGGCCTTCCAGGGTCCCTCCCAGCCCACAGCATTGGACGCAGGAGCCAGCTCTGGGCAGGGACCAGCCTGCAGGTCCTGGGATGATGAGCAGGAGTTAAAGGTCTGGGCCTGGGAGACACCCTCACTGGTGCACCCTGGATTTGTAGATAAAGCAGCTGTGCCCACAGTCACTCTGGGGGCCTTGGGGGTTCTGGTTGCTGTGTTCTCTGTACCTCTGACACCTTAGGGCACAGCTGGCCCAGGAGACGCTGGGTTCAACACCAGGACAGCTCCCTGGACTCAGTGTGCTTATTTCCTCCTTGTGCCACCAGAGCATGGACAGTGTCCCCTGCTGTCTCCCCCAAAACCCAAAACCCAAGTCTGCAGCCTGAGGGCTGTGGCCCCCACCCACCAGACTTTCCACCACTGCCTTTGACACATGAACTCCCCATTGTCCTTCACCACCTCCCTCACCGGTGCATGCCTCACCCACACACCATGCTTTACACGCCATGTGCACACGCCACACATGTACACCCACCAACCACACACACACACACACACACACACGTACACACACGTACACACACACCCACCATGATTTGGACCACAGCCAGTCAGGCTCAGAGAATCCGAGGGTCTTTTATTTCTGTGCCAGGAGCGGGAGGGTGTGACCAGCCCTGAGGGAGGGGTGTCTGGCTGCACCTCCAAAGGAGCTTTCACGTGAGTATCACCCACAGTCTCGGGGAGGGGGCCTTCTGAGCAAGGACCACTGGCATCTTTCCCCAAAAGGCTCTACTGCCCCTACTGTGAACCAGAACTGGTTGGTGGAGGGGTGACAGGGCTGGAACCATTTCTGTCCAACAGGGTGGCAAAGCTGCGGCCTCTGGGAGACCACGGAAGAGGAAGGCTGGTGCGGCCTGGTGGGAGTGGCACATCCCCCTGCACTTCCATGCCCCCTGCTGGTGACCACCAGACTGTGCCTCTTACTCTGAGTGTCGGTTCCAAAGGTGGGGCTGGGTGCCAGCGAGGAATGCCAGGCCTCTGCCAACTCAGTCCAGGGCCCCCCTGCCTTGTGGGGATCAGCCTGTTGACCAGACCCTTCTGGAAGGAGGGTGTGACAAGGGAAAACGAGGATCCCTGGAGATGGCGTCCTCCCCCACTCCCTCCCCACAAGGCTGGGCCCTCTGGGCAAGAGGGGACCCCGTGCTGGGGGTCTCAGTAGCTGTCAGGACCCTGGGCAAGAGGAGGGTGACAAGGGCATGATGGCCACCTCCTCCCACTCAGGCCCACCTAGGTCTCCCCATCACCATCCCCAGGGCTACCGGCAGCAGCCTCAGGCTCCCCAGAGGTGGAGGTGGGAAGGAGAGCAAGGCTGGGGCTGGAATGCCGCGGCTTCCACATGAATGGGAACACCCTGTGGGCGAGAAGGGGCCTGAGCACGGGACAGCCGCCTGCGTCCTGCCCGCCTGCCCGGGGACACCGCCTAGCTCACCGGCGCTTCATCTCCAGGGGGACCACAGCCTCCGCCAGCAGGTCTTTGTACAGGTCCGACTTCAGGAACCTCGGGTACGAGTCCTGCAAGAGATGACATCCAGCCCTGACCCCTTCTACCTCCTGGTCTCAGTCAGCACTGCAGGGGCCTCCTCTAGGCCCAGAGCCCCTGGTGGATGGGGCCAGAGCAGCCCCC